AGACCCAGTCAGACCACTAAAGATTCATATAAATACTCTATTTAACCAAGAACAATATTACAATGGGACAGCATTCTTTTTATAAAAACAAGCATAAATCTCAAATAGTACTTTCGTGTTAGATAAACCCGTTGACACAATTTGTAATGCATCTCTGGAATTCAATGTTATCTTACTTTGTGTTATGGTGTAACACCTCTAATTCGGGTCCGGCCAGAAAGCACATACCAGAAAGTAGTACATATTTAACACAAAATAGTTTCTACGCATGAGTTTAACTTTCAAAATATGTAGAATATTTAGGTATTTTTTTTTAAATGAAAGCTGAATGACTGGTGATCATTGTAGAACACTTTTTGACTTATAATTTTGAATATTAAAAAAACTGCACCAAATTTTAGAAAGAGGGTACATTTTGTCTGTTTGTCAGATCTGAAGTACCTGTTTTGATACATCCGTAGTTCCGGGAACAAGTTCTTTTTTATATGCCATTTAAGGTATGTTGTTTTTTTCAGTACAAGACACCATAAAGTGTTGATTTGACATGCAATGATTGTCACTTTATTTGAACTTAAAACAAAAGAGCTGTGCCTGCTTGAAATTGAGGAATTTAACATAGAAAGCAATGGGGCCATGAATTAGTGGTGTACTACCTATTACAGAGAATCATCAAAAATTCAATTTTTAGAAGTTGTACCTATTCAAATGAAAATTAGTCTGATTTGATGTCAGTTATCATGTTTAATCATCTTTTTTGGATGAACAATTCTGTTTATGGGACATTTCAGCTCTTAAATTGACAAAATAAGGTATCTTAGCCTTTATTGTAATACAACATACATGCAGTTAAGACTTGACTCCAAGTTCTTATTTGTACATAAATTGGGATTGAAATCAATAAAACATGTATATTATGACTTGTTTATGATAAAAACAAATAGCTCTTGGTCAAATTATTCTATGATTTCTCTGACTTGTTTATGATACAAAAAATAGCTCTTGGTAAAATATTTCTATGATTTCTCAAGTTTTATTGGTTTTCTTATGGTAGCCTTTTACAATCTAGGCAATTGGTATATACTCATATATGAATTGCAAAATCTCACTGTACATGCGATGTTGAACCAGTTTAGCAAGTTATCCAGCTGAGGGATATATAAATTGCTCTCAATAATCTATGTTGTACCACAGAAGTATGGTTTATATCAAAAATTTCCCTTTTCCAATTTGAAAACAAGGGGGGACAATATTCTCAATTATGTCTTAGGTTTGGACTAATATATTTTTATTAAATGAACAACCTCTGGTAAAAATATGACTATTGGTAAGCACATTGCTTTCCTAATAGAAATTAATAAATAGACCAATTATATTGAGAATAAAAAAAGTATATTGGCCATTGGTAATATCCATATACAGTTTTCTTTGAACAACCCATATGTTACTACTAGTCCAATTTGAGCTTAAAATTAGTAAAAATAGTATTTGGACTAAAGCTTTAAATGTTTTTATTGCTTGAAATAGATCATAGAATGAAATAAAGTAATGCTGAAGTCAATATAGCAAGTTTGGTTCTGTTATAGGTGTAACACATCTAATTCGGGCCCGGCCAGAAAGCACATACCAGAAAGTAGAACATATTTAACATAAAATAGTTTCTACGCATGAGTTTAACTTTCAAAATATGTAGAATATTTAGATATCTTTTATATCAAATGAAAGCTGAATGACTGGTGATCATTGTAGAACACTAAAAAAACTGCACCAAATTTTAAAAAGAGGGTACATTTTGCCTGTTTGTCAGATCTGAAGTACCTGTTTTGGTACATCCGAAGTTCCAGGAACCAGTTCTTTCTTATAGGCCATAAAAGGTATGTTGATTTTGTCAGTACAAGACACCATAAAGTGTTGCTTTGACATGCAATGGTTGTCACTTTATTTGAACTTAAAACAAAAGAGCTGTGTCTGCTTAAAATTGAGGAATTTAACATAGAAAGCAATGGGGCCAGGAATTAGTAGTGTACGTCCTTATATCTCGTTTCACTATTTAGTATATCGATAAATTTTCACTTCTGCACTCGTATGGTGGACAACAATTTTATCAATTTTGTAATAAATGTTAAATTCCGTACTCCTAACAACAAATTATTATATTTAAATTTACCTGTGTACTTTGTTCTAAAGAACGCCATTTTGTCCCAGGTTAGAGTTGTCTTTTTGACACTGTTCCTACGTCTGTTGTTATTACTACCGGCAACATCTATGTTATATAGGTACCCCCGTTTTAATATTGAATTTATATTGCGTCATGGATCATGTTTATTCGTTCAGTGTATGTTTACATGTTTTTGTTTAAATGTCTTTTTGATGATTTAAGCCATTTCAATTGATATTTATGTCCTGGTGAAAGGGTTTATCTAAACTTGACATCATGTGCATTGTACATTGAATGCTGATTTAACATAATGCTAATTTAAAGTAATGTTTGGGGTAAAAACTTCCTTCTTTTTCACTTTTAACATCAATTCAATTATGAACACAAGAACAGGCGAGACGTTTCAATCTGTCCACTCTTGTTTTTTCTTCAATATTTCGTAGCAGACTTATTATGTACTCATAACAACACAATTATTATATTTAAATTTACTAGTGTACGTTATTTTATTTAAGCCATGTTGTCCCAGGTTAGAGTTGTCTTTATGACATTGATTTATATCCCCCCCTTTTTTTTTATTAATATTGTATTAATATTATGTCTTATATCACTTTTATTCGTTCAATGTTTTTGTTAATATGTCTTTTTTTATCGAGTTAAGCCATTTCAGTTGACATTTTTAGTGTGTCTTTTTATGTTGTAATGTTACACTACTGTTTTAGGTTAGGGTGATGGTTTGCGCCTGTTAAAATGTTTAAACGCGCTGCATGTGTATGCACCTGTCCTAAGTCATGAGCCTGGTGTTCAGTTGTTATCATTTGTTGGTGTTGTTCATTCGTTTTTCCTTTTTTCTCGTTATTTTATAATCGATTATACCGTAGGTTTTCCTGTTTGAATTGTTTTACACTATCATTTATGGGTTATTGATAGCTTGCTGTTCGGTGTGAGTGAAGGCTTCGTATTCAATGGTGTACTTTGACCTATAGTTGTTAACTTTTTTACATTGTGACTCTGATGGAGAGTTGTCTCCCTTTGGCACTCAAACCACATCTTCTTATTTATATTATTATTTTTAAAATGATATCTGAAGCTTCTATACTTCCGCAGGATGTCCAATACGTTCATATGTGTTGGTCAGTGTCATTCATACAACAGATATAGCTGCACTCAAATTTAATGACAATTATATTTACCAGCTAATTCTTCAAAGAAAAATATCTAAGCCAGCGTAGATAAACTTACAAAAAAAATCAATCAATTGCGCCCCTTTAATAGCATACTTGTTCTTGTACTGTCATGAATCACAGTGCATGTTCAAACTCAGTAAAGACCCGTCTAGATCACATTTAATTGATGAATTTAACAACACTTATACATTATACATCATATCCGTTTTCTTTACAATTGTTTTTCATTAAATAATCAAGAATTTTTTAAATATATTGCCGAAATTTACCAAAAGGAACTTTAAATAAAACGAATATAACTGTCCCTTCCTATATTTAGATATTGCAGTTTTACATGGCAAACTCTACACTAAAATTTACCAAAAAATGAACGATTTATTGTTCCCTATTTTTAAGTTTCCTTTTTTGGACAGTGATGTTCCTTTTACATCATATAACGGTGTTTATATATCACAACCCGTATCTATTGCGACGTTTTGGATGAACGTAATCTATGTTTGCATTACTGGTTAATTTAAAAGTCAGTGATTTCGGTACCACACATTACTGTAAAACCTTTACTAAATTCGTCAATGGATATAAAGATTTGGGTTGAAAGTTGTAATGTTCATGTAGAAAACTTATTTCAAACGCGATAGCACATCCTATATTTTACGGTGATGTTGTTTACCGCGCCCGGATACTAAGAAACGATCCGGGAAAACTTATCGATCCTTCAGATAAACTTAATCTAAATTTTACCAATTCAACACTGTTATTCGATTTTTTAATACGGTTTTATTGATATTGATACTGATTTAATTATCAGTAATTAAAATCAAACTAAATATTTTGTTAATATACATATGCACATTCATGGGTCTACCATATGTCGATACCTATATCTTGGCATTGCACAAGGCCATTTCTTTTTTTCTAAATGATTATGAAGCCTTTACAATAAATTCATTCGATGTTTGATGTGTACTGATTTATATTTTGGTCTGAGATGCATGATTTTTTGCATTAGTTATAATTGACTTTGAACTAGCTGTCAAATTAGTTCAACTTCGCCACATGTATGTGAATATACCATGTCAGGAGCCTGTAATTCAGTGGTTATTGTTTGTTGCTGTGTAACATATTTTTTTTTCGTCCATTATTTTACATAGTTTTTATGCCGTACGGTTTCTTGTTTGAATTGTTTTATATTTGTCATTTCGGGGCCTTTTATAGCTGATATGCAATATGGGCTCTGCTCATTGTTTAAGGTTGCATCGGGACATATAGTTGTTAATTTCGGTGTCATTTGGTCTCTTGGTGAGAGTTGTCTCATTGTCAATCATACGACATTTTGTAATTTTTTTATTTTTACAAAATGATCATTAAATGCATTAAAAAAAATTTAGTTGCAATAGTTGATAACGAGATAATATACGGTTACGACAAAAGAGATGATTTCAGCATTTTTTTTACCATCGTCTTAGATCTTAAAAATATTTGGAGTAATGTCTAATTTTCGAATTAAATGTATATTTTACGAAATTGTAGTTTTATACTCAATGACGAAAAAAGCATGTGCATGATTCATGATTTTCACTACTGTTAAAACATAGAGATTTGAAGGAGATGATGAAATTTAAAAAAGGTACTTGTTTATTGACTAAATATCACTCATATGACCGCAATGCATCTAATTTTATTTCAATTAAAAGTAGTAGAAAATTTCATATTGTCTAATTGAGGGAAAAAAAAAGTCTTCTATGTTAACATCGGCGTAGAAAATATATATATATGACTCTATAACAATGTTCGTTTCTTGGTTCTCTGAATTTTTTTTTTATTCTATTTCGCAAATTTGAAGCATTTCCTTTTCATTAATGACAGAATATATGTTTTCAAGTCCAGATTTGGATGACCGATCATTTTCATCTGGTTTGAAATTGAACTGTTTTCCCGTGCGAAGTTCACCAAATGAAGGTTGTCTGTTTTTCCAAGTAGATATTACCCGTAAAAGGGTTTGCCTATATTTCCAAACTGAAAAAGCAGCTGCAAGAAGAAGTCCAAAGACAGCAACACAAGACATGTATATTACAACATCTTTAGGTTTTTGATCTGTAGAAATATGAAAAATAAGTATCTACAATTTATATCTTTAGTGATACATTCAAATAATGATTAAAACCGATAAGTATGCTTGAATAAATAAAAGAGTAGTGATAATGAGGTTTAGAATACTACAGGAAAAATTAGTCTGCATTACATTTTAATCTTGTTCCTGAGATTAACTCTGACTACATGTAACTCAAAAACTTAGAATCAATAACAATATAATTGAGCTTACCTTTATTTTTTTAGTGTGTGTATCTAGGGAGGAATAAATCCTATTTCGTAAAAAATCACTCTGATTCAAACAAAAAATTCTCTGAAACTGACATTATCAAGATGCTTGATTTCTTGATTGACAACATATTTGTTACGTTTGGAAGACGTGTTTTTCAACAAACTATGGGCATTCCCATGCGAACCAATTGTGCCCCTCTTCTTGCCGACTTGTTCCTTTATTCTTATGAGGCTGACTTCATGCAAGAATTTCTTGGGAAAAAAAGAAAAGAAGTTAGCAATATCCTTAAATTTTAATTTTCGCTTTAAAGATGATGTTCTCTCACAAAATAATTGAAAATTTGGTGACTATGTTGTACGCATCTATCCCATCAAACAAGAGATAAAAAATACACCAGATACAGTTAAGTCTGCCTCATATCTTGACTTAGATCTATAAATTGATAATGAAGGTCGGTTGAAAACAAAGCTTTTAGACAAAAGAGATGATTTCAGCTTCCCAATTGTGAACTTTCCATTTCTATGTAGCAACATACCAGCAGAGCCTGCATATGGAGTATATATCTCCCAATTAATACGATATTCACGGGCTTGTATTCTTATCATGATTTCCTTGATAGAAGGTTGCTGCTCACAAGGAAGCTATTAAACCAAGAGTTCCAAATGGTGAAGTTGAAATCATCCCTTCGTAAATTTTACGGACGCCATCACGTGTTTGTTGACCGTTATGGAATATCCGTTTCACAGATGATATCGGATATGTTCCTTATGTCGTAACTACAATCCCGTTCCCTTTTCACGAATGTGACCTACCGAATGAGACTATTTACCGGGTTGGTAATAACATGAGCAACATGACGGGTGCCACATGTGGAGCAGGATCTGCTTACCCTTCCGGAGCACCTGAGATAACCTCCAGTTTTTGATGGGGTTCGTGTTGCTAAGTCTTTAGTTTTCTTTGTTGTGTCATGTGTACTATTATTTGTCTTTTTGTCTTTTTCTTTTTTAGCCAGGGCATTGTCAGTTTATTTTCGATCTATGATTTTGAATTTTCTCTGGTATCTTTCGTCCCTCTTTTACACATTGTAAATACAGCTGTTTCACAAACCACGCCTCTTTTGGGGAGATATATAATATTTATAGATATTTTTGTTTTGTTTATCTACTGGTTTACAGATATTATCTCTATGTTTCATCTTATAGAGACACATCTTGGGAACTGTATCGGTATAAATACACATGAATAGCGGCCAAATTGAATTATGAGAAGACTTAAAGTAAAGAGAGGAGAAGTACAGAACTTGAGTATAAATTAAAACTCTTGGAAGTTCGAGGCACATTGATATTGAAAATATGACCACAGCCCTATGTATTGACCTTTGAAAAAACTAGTAGTGCATATGCACTTTTCATTATAGGATATATGTTTTTTTTTTACAAAAGTTCAAAATAAAAGTGGCACAGTTTTAGCCATAAAAAATGGAAATGGCATGGTCTATATTAACAGAGGTTTAAAGACATTATATTTGGCACCGCGTATGTTTGTATGCATGTTGTTATTTTCGTTGTTTGATTGCATATATTCGTTTATGTTACGTTTATTTTTAAGTTTTATACACTCTTTGCCAATATTGAGTTTGTATAGATGATATCTCAGCAGAAAGTCAATAGTACAATGGGCACGTATTCTGCATCACTACTTGTCGACTTGTTTTTTTTTACTCATATTACTTCAGATATTTTGACGATTTTCTGTAACTTAATAAATCACAATTCAATGAGTGCTTACATCTCATATCCTAATGAAATGAAGATTATGGTACTACCAAAAACAGAAGGTCTGCTTCATATTTTGGTATTTTATTCGATATTGACAAGGACGCACGATTTCGAACTAGAATCTACGACAAACTTAAAAGAGTTTAGCTTCGAAATTGTCAATTTCCCTTTTCTCAGCAGTAACAAAACCTTTGTTTAATCTCAGTAACTTGATTTTTCCCTTCCTTGTGAATTTACGAGATTTTTCAATCGATAAACTAATGTTACCTGAATTAAACCGCACGGAACTGGAAATAAAGACGTACCTTCTTTCTGCCTTCCCGCTTTGGATGTCTTATCTTTAGCTAATGAAAAAAATATGATAAAAACGTGTACTTCATGAATGATTATGGTGGATAAATGTCATTGCAGACCAGATCGTAATACAATTGAAAATGTTGAAACTGAAGGTTAATCTGTTACTTGTACGATTCAAACTAGGATTATATATTATAACGGTATTTTTTGTTAATTACAGCATTTTGAAATGGCGACTAGTCCTTGAGACAATAAGTAAATTGTTGATTTTTACAGTAAGTATTTGCCAATACATGAAAAAAATTCATTTACATTGTCGGGTACAGTAAATAAAAATTTATGTTAAGTATCTGAAGAAAATGATTATGATAAAATACTGTATCTTCTCTTTGAAATGTTGCTTATCGTGAGAATAATATTATCTTACAACAGTTTCGGACATGTCACAAAGGTAATTGTTTTTCATTTCCTCATGAATATAAATAATAATTTACGAGCAATACGATAAAAACGAAGAATAGCATACGATTTCATTCGTAATCCACTTTATGTTTTAAGGTTTTTTTTAACATTTACCAAGGGTATCATCTAAACAAATTTAATATCTTTTATCCCACTAGCCGCCGGTATAAGTTCTTGTTATAACAGAACATAAAACAACTGTAGGTTCTTTTAACAAAGAAGAACTTTAGCTTTGATTGGCACAAGGATGTTTATATTTAAAAAATGATCAGGTGGTGACGACGGCATTGGCAATGATATCCAAAGGTTACGATGATGCATAAGGATTATATATCTCCCAGTTGATACGATATTTCAGGGTTTTTTTCACCTGCTCACAGCTCGCAAAGAATTGATAACCCAATAGTTCCAAAAGGTGAAATTAAAATCATCCCTTCGTAAATTTTATAGACGCCATCACGAGTTGGTTGACCGTTTTAAAATATCCGTTCCACAGATGATAGAGGATATGTTACTAATGTCATAACTACAATTCAGTCCCCTTTCCACGAATGTGACCTACCGAATAAGACTTATTACCGGTTTGTACTAACATGAGTAACACGATGGGTGCCACATGTGAAACAGGATCCGCGTACACTTATGGAGTACCAGAGATCAACACCAGTTTTGATGGGGTTCGTGTTGCTCAGTCTTTATTTTTTTATTTGTGTTTTATATAATATTGTTCAATATTGTTTGTCTGTTAATTTTTTTTTCAGCCATTGCGTTGTCAGTTTATTTTCGCCTTATGAGTTTGAAGGTCACTCTGATATCATTTGCCTCTCTTTTAAAGAAATAGAGTGCATTTATTTATAAATGGAATATACATGTATTTAACAAGAGGTATATTACAGAACCACAATGTAAATCAGAACAGGAAAAGTACTTAACTATAAGATAATAATATACAAGATAATTGGCAAAAACGTAGATTTAATTGTTCAAATGCATGAACTCCTATATGATTAAAAATGAAATAAGACATTTACCTTTTGATTTTCCACAAAGTCACATAGTTATGTACCAAATGGAAAATCAAGAAAAGGGCTTTGAACGCATGAAATAATATAATTTTTGTTTTGATTTTATACAAATTCAAATACTCAAATGATATACATATTGTTTCACATAACACTATTAATATAAGATAATTATATATTTGCAATCTGTTTTACTAGTCTTTTAAATTTTGATTGTTCCTGTTGTATCTTTCGCATTTTCTTTATATCAAGCCATACGAACTATTTTCTTAAGATTGTATTAAAAAAGTATGAAGTTACTTACCAATACAGCCTGTTACATGATGACATCTGAAATTATAAATAATAAAGACAAATGTTCGGATTATTAGAAATATGGCTGCACCCTTTAGTGAAAAAAAATATTTCGCTCATATGAACACTGAAAACAAGACTAATTTAATGTTTAAGCGTAGTCATTAAGGACGCGGCACATACATATTGATTATAAATTCACAAAGATTGTTTTCGTTAATAGTAGTACAATACATCATAAAATTGAAATAAACACAAAATCACAATATAATGTTAACATGTACATATCTTAATATACAAAACGATGAGAATGCAGGCTATGATGTTGTGGTGTAAATTTTATATTAATTGTTGCCATGCGAACAAATTCGTCGCGTACAATCTAAATTTATTTTTCAACAGTTTGTATACCTCCCTCAAGTTAATTATCCGTTTATGTATACAACTAGGTCAGAGAAGTTCCGGAATAAATACTAAAAAAAATTATAGATATCCAGCAAAGATTTACATTTTTGAACATAAGTAACGTAAACAGACCTTACCGAATTTTTAACAATAAATACACCAAGAAAACATGATACATGTAAAAAAAAACTTTCTTAAAATTGTAAACTAAATAAGCAAAAATCTTAAAACATTTTAAACATATCTATCTTTAATTTCTAACTTGCACAGGCACAACTTTTAACTCGTTATAATCTCATAGACTTTATTTATATTGAAAGTCCACGTGGCAATGAACAGGCAAAAACATTAAGTTGAGGAAAAAGTGTATATTTTTGGAGAATTGCAACATGCTAAGAAATATGTTGACCACTCTCTTCGAATATTGGTGATTTGAAAGAGCTTTAGATTTTTTTATGTCCATACATGTACTTTTTTCAATGTTTTGTATCAATATGTAGCAAAGATTAATATTTTTCAAATTTTATTTTAACATGTCTCATATAACATTAATAATTGAAATAAAACATCATATATGTTATGATGGTATGATACTAAACCCCTAACGGGAAGGATTGTGCCTGATATTCATATGATGAAGACATAATCTTTCAATCAGTTTAATTGAAGTCTGGAGCTGGCATGTCAGTTAACTGCTAGTAGTCTGTTGTTATTTATGTATTATTGTCATTTTGTTTATTTTCTTTGGTTACATCTTCTGACATCAGACTCGGACTTCTCTTGAACTGTATTTTAATGTGCGTATTGTTATGCGTTTACTTTTCTACATTGGCTAGAGGTATAGGGGGAGGGTTGAGATCTCATAAACATGTTTAACCCCGCCGCATTTTTGCGCCTGTCCCAAGTCAGGAGCCTCTAGCCTTTGTTAGTCTTGTATTATTTTTAATTTTAGTTTCTTGTGTACAATTTGGAGTTTAGTATGGCGTTCATTATCACTGAACTAGTATATATATTTGTTTAGGGGCCAGCTGAAGGACGCCTCCGGTTGCGGGAATTTCTCGCTGCATTGAAGACCTGTTGGTGGCCTTCTGCTGTTGTCTGTTCTGTGGTCGGGTTGTTGTCTCTTTGACACATTCCCCATTTCCATTCTCAATTTTATCATATATTTGCATGTATGTTTCAAATACCTCAGTCAAGCAAATACTTTCTTTGAAGTCCTTTTAATATTGTACTTTTGATTTTGTCGACTTTTTTATAAAATGAGCTACTTTTGTTCTCGTGTCATTGGTTTAACTTGCATAGGTTAAAATGTACAGGATGGAAAGGTATGACCATCTTAACGAAGTCAATGTATATGTTTATATTATGCTGGGGACACTTATTTTAAATGTATAATGTGCTCTTCATGAGCATTCAATACAATTGGCCTTTTATGATGACTTTTCGACAGTCTTCAATATACCTCATCATAAATCAAATCTTATGGACTAAATCCTAACCATAAAAAATTGTATTACATTTGAAAACAAATTATTGACATTCAATCCTAGATGCATGATTTTATTTTATTACTTTTTATTGCCTTTGAACTAGCTGTCAGTAACTTCACGTACTCTCAGATTTGTACTTCGTGTCTTTTTGATGTTTGGATGTATAAGTACCCGGCCACGTCTACTCTATGTTTTTGTTAAATGTATTTCTTTTTGTATCCATCTGATGAGTTAAGCCTTTTTTAACTAATTTTTATGGTTTGTTCTTATGTTGTACTGTTACACCACTATCCCATGTCAACAGGAGGGTTGGGATCTTGGTAATAATAATCTTGCCGGCGAAATGACGATTTAAGTCGCCAAAGAATTTAGAAAATTGCTAAATCTCGCCAGCCGACTGACTTCATGGCGAAGTCAAATCGCTATGAAAATCGGTAAAAGGGAGACAACTTGTTAATTACAAGTCTCCCAGGTAAACAAAAATGGCGACTGACAAAGAAAATCGAGATTTTCGAAACGACTTAGGACTGATACTGTCGACGATCAAATTTAATAAATACAACGGCGACTTTGAACATCCTTGGATATAACATTCAAAACTATTCAAAAGTAAAACTGACCGTCTGTTAAAGTTATCATTTTACGATGATTTATCTGAGGATGTTGCGTAATCACTCAGCTGATTTGTTTTATTTTTATTTATTACGAGTCGATCAAATTGTACTATTCGGATGGTTAAGGGTGGGAATTACCGGTAGATTTATTATATTCATTGAATAAAAATTGAAATATAAAAGGTAGAAAGACAGCTGATGGATAATATGATTGCAAACGTACGACACTTGACCAGCGGTGATCAGCACTGCAGCAGTCAGTGGATTTTTTTCACGACAATATTTCGTTGATAGGGAAGATATCTTTATAAATGATAAAAATTAGCTCTGTATCGGTTAATTAATATGTGATTGAAAGATATTTTCATTTATAGGCTTACAATCTTTGACGAAAATCTCAATTTACAACTACATGTAACATGATGTCCTGGACATTCAATAATGTTTTACAAAATAATGACAAGTGGTGATACAAATTAAATTCCCAGTCATGTGAAATTCATCAGGTAAACTGGGAGTCATATTTTTCTGGACATTAAAAAATAAATTGAGACAGATGCACATGAATTTAATGCATCATAATATTACTAGCTATATATATAGGCTACTCCCTCATGTCCCAAACAACACATTTTATTTAAATTTAAATTCAAGTTGACAATACAAATGGTATCATGAATAAATAACAACTATATTGTCTAAACCTTTTTATTAAGAACTTTCTATTTATACATTTTGTACAATAACATGAAAATATTGCAAGTATATTTTTTATTGCATATAAAACAATTTCCTAAGTGATAAGCACGAGAACACTATGCAACCGAAACGGTAATAGAATATTATATGTTCTATATTAATGTGCCTGTCCCAAGTCAGGAGCCTGTAACTTAGTGGTCATTGGTTGCTGTTTTATATATTTGTTTTTCGTTCATTTTTTGTACATTTATTATGCCGTTAGTTTGAATTGTTTTATATTTGTCATGTCGGCGCCATTTATAGCTGACTATGCGGTACGGGCTTTCTTCATTGTTGAAGGCTGTACGGTTACCTATAGTTGTTAATTTCTGTGTCATTTGGTCTCTTGTGAAGAGTTGTCTCATTGGCAATCATACCACATCTTCTTATTTATAATGAATAACGAAGGTTATTGAATAAGCCAACGTATTGATAAACACTATTTTATACCATTCTCTGCGTAAAAACCATCTTATATTCGTATTGTTGCGTATATCTTGAGACTTTTAATAATTTGTTTCCTTATCTGCGGACAATCACATATTTTTATTGACCCAGTACATATTGAATTAGCTGGTTGGTCTTTTAATAGAGTCCCTTTTACATTTATGTATATACATACTGAACGAGTTCAGATCTTTTAAATCTTTATTTGTTAATATATAAATATATATTCAGTGAACCCAATTCAAACAACGAAAACACTCAAAATAAATAGATGAGATAAAGGACATAAAACATTTGAAGTCAATTTTCGCACATAATTTGAAATCTATCTGCTTGCAAAATATAATGTATATGTGTTTACCAACTAAAGTAATGCTTAGATAACTATTTCAACAATTAGAAAGCAAGATACCTTTGACTACCTTCACATTTGCAAGTGTGTACACATTTTTTGCCATACATGCCAGCTTCACATGGATGACATGGTTTCCCTTTTCTAGATGTGTATCCTACCTTACATTCTGAAAATAGAATATGAACAATAAAGGTACGGTATGCAAAAATATGTTTATATATCTTTTTGTTCCAATAAATTGTTAGCGTTATAATTTGAAGAATGTACAACATTTTCCAGAAGACCAAAAAAGTGAAAAAGCATATTTTAACAAAACGCATTTGACTAACAGGTCGAACAACGGATGTTAGGTCTCGAAACGGTATTTGGAAGGCCATATAATTTACCTCAATCTAGGATAGACTCTTGAATTTTAAAGAGTCGAAATAGGATGATTGGATCATATAAACTCGAAGGAAAATATGATACAAGCATAAACGAAAAAATATAAACAAGTCTAATTTGAAAACAACGTTCAAACCTATGATTGCGTTGGACAAAATCCTCAATTATTATACGTGTGTATGCAAAACAAATTTCTTGGAAGATGGGTCTGAATACAGCACAAACAACATTTTAACGTTTAACAAAACGCATTTGACTAACAGGTCGAACAACAGATGTTCTCAAACTCTACTGACTGCCATTGGCGATTGCCAAATAAATTAATCACCAGATGTAACAAAATGGACCTTAATAATAATTTAATACCAAACAGAAAACAATAAACTTGCGGAAAGGATGGTATACCACAAACATGAGCTGCAATAATTTGTACACCATATCCGGATTTCGACAATTATTGTCTCGTCAGTGTATGTTAGGGATCCAAACGGTATTTGGAAGGCCATATAATTTACCTCAATTAAGGATAGACTCTTGAATTGTAAAGAGTCGAAATAGGATGAACGGATCATATTAACCCGAAGGAAATATAATACAATTCCAAACGAAAAAAATATAGACAAGTCTAAATTGGAAACAACGTTCAAACCAATGATTGATTGCGTTGGGTGAAAACCGCAATTGTTATAGATGTGTGCATGCAAAACAAATTTCTTGGTAGAGGGGTCTAAGATACAGCACAAACAACATTTTCTCAAAGACCAAAACAGTGAAAAAGTATATTTTAACAAAACGCATTTGATTAACTGGTCAACCAACGGATGTTCTTAAACCCTGCTGACTGCCATTAGCAATAACCAAATAAATTGATCGCCAAATGTAACAAAATGGATCTTAATATCAATTTAATACCAAACAGAAAACAATACACTTGCGGAAAGGATGGTATACCACAAATTTGAGGTGCAAAAATCTGCACACCATATTCGGATTTCGACAATTAATGTCTCTTCTGTAATTTTAGGGATCAAAACGGTATTTGGAAGGCCATATAATTTACCTCAATTTAGGATAGACTATTGAATTTTAAAGAGTCGAAATAGGATCAACGGATCATATAAACTCAAAGGAAAATATAATACAAGTCCAAACGAAAAAATATAAACATGTTTAAATTGAAAACAACGTTCAAACCTATGACTGCGTTGGATAAAAACCGCAATTTTTATACGTGTGCATGCAAAATAAATTTCTTGGTTTAGGGTGTAAATACTGCACAAACAACATTTTACAAAAGACCAAAAAAGTGAAAAAGTATATTTTAACAAAACGCATTTAATAACAGGTCGAACAACGGATGTTCTTAAATCCTGCTACCTACCATTGGCGATTGCCAAATGCATTAATCACCAGATGTAACAAAATGGATCTTAATATTAATTTAATACCAAACAGACAACAATAAACTTGCGGAAAGGATGGTATACCACAAATATGAGGTGCAAATATTTGTACACCATATCCGGATTTCGACAATTAATGTCTCTTCAGTAATGTTAAGGATCGAAACGGTATTTGGAAGGCCATATGATTTACCTCAATTTAGGGTAGACTCTTGAATTTTAAAGAGTCGAAATAGGATGAACGGATCATATAAACCCGAAGGAAAATATATTAGAAGCCCAAACGAAAAAATATAAACATGTCTGAATTGAAAACAACGTTCAAACCTATGACTGCGTTGGACAAAAACCTCAATTATTATACGTGTATATGCAAAACAAATTTCTTAATAGAAAGGTTTAAATACAGCACAAACAACATTTCCCAAAATACCAAAAAGTGAAAAAGTATATTTTAACAAAACACATTTGACTAACAGGTCGAACAACAGATGTTCTTAAACCCTGCTACCTGCCATTGGCGATTGCCAAATGCATTAATCACCAGATGTAACAAAATGGATCTTAATATTATTTAATACCAAACAGAAAACAATAAACTTGCGGAAAGGATGGTATACCACAAACATGAGCTGCAATAATTTGTACACCATATCCGGATTTCGACAACTAATGTCCTTTCAGTGATGTTATGCCTATATATATATATCATGTATATTACGGAATAGAAATGTGTCGAGTTTTGTGATTGGATAACAACACGGAGATGTCTGTATATATTCAGGAAACTGCTAGGGTATATACGACGTTTTTATCCCCAAATTGGAACCTCAAAAACGTCATAATAACACCTGTTACTATGTCACGTAGTCAAAAGCTATACAAACCAGTAAAGATTGTCAGAGGCTCACAGGGGGTAAATTATAACGTGCATCCGTCCATAATTCATTTCTAATACAAAATCACGCAATTTACACTTCAATTACTTAAAATGTTTTAAAGTGTTACTATAAATTATAACATATATACACGACAAAATTAGTTTCACAGCAATTTACAAAATCCTTCACGTATGCGGAAAATATCAAGTTTGGTATTTTAATATTACTGGAATAAACCCGCAAAACCCGGGCATTTAGAGCGTGGTTCAAAGTATGTAAACAGTTGTAGGAGGAAATTTTGTAAAAGATGCCCAGTTATTACTGGAGAATTTCATGAAAGTAATAATAGGTACTAGGTGACAGGAAAATGTGTTTTTTGCTCTTCCCCTTTTTTCCAAAGTCGTTTTTTTTTCTTTCTGTTTTTCTATATACTATGAAAATACATAAACTATAAATGAAGTGTATTTGCTACTTACTATCAATTCCAAGTTACTTATCCTAGGCGATATAGTATTAGTGTTTATAGAGACTCTCCATATAATATATCAGTGACAGCCGTGGATAGTAAACTTGAAATTGATAGTAAATAGCAAATTCACTTTATGAATAGTACATGTATAAATATGTATGATCATAGTATAAAGAAAAACGCGAAAATAATTGTCCTGTTTTTAAGAACAGTCCTAAACGGAAGTCTTGTCCATGACTTAAAAGTCAGACCGATGACGGAAACAATATTCGGACGCCATTATTTTCGTTTTTCTCCCAAAATAATCCAAACTGAATAATTATAAGCGAGGATGACAAATAAGACACAGAGGCATGATGATTTATTTATTGTGTAAGGAAGAGAAGCGACACACAAAAATGAGGTCTTCTCATTTAATAGTATAGATGTGTTGTAAAAACGAAGCCACATACACATACAAACACAAAACATGAAATCTAAAAACTTGATTGAAAACATTATTTTAACGGAAAAAATTATTGTCAAGATAAAAAGGTGCATTTAAATGGATTTCTAAAATTATTAAGAAACAGTAAACATGTAATTAATATATATGATGCACTGTGCGGAATGTTTAACAAATACCTGCACTGAACAAAAAAACATTGAGACAGGGGTAATCCGTAATATATGTGTAATTCAGGTCTCAGTAAGGGTATACACTGTCTGAGACCTGAATAACATATTATATATATGTGTGTGTGTCTACAAACGATCTTTGCTTTTAACATGAATGCACGTCACTAAAACTTATTAACATCGGAATTGCCTTAAAAAAATCATTATTTACACTACGAAACATATTTTTTTTTTAAATAACCAATTTATTTGAAATTGAAAATTAACATGAATAAAATCATTTCAGACAGAAAAGAAGATAATTATGTTGATTGATCAGACTTGAATTAAGAGTTAGCTATTTATATAGTAAATTTATTATGTCCCTGTACTGTTCTATTGGTCAGATTTGTCATGATTAATTAAACGATAAATTATTGAAATTATATAACATGTTTTTCACGTGTACAGAAATTTCACTTATGACCAGTTCATGATTGGTCAATGATCTTGCGGGGTCAGCACCGAGTTCACGTGTATATGCAGTTGTTTTATCATCAGCTTTTAACTTGTTAACTTGTAATTCTTATCAAACAGTTTGTAAAAAATTACGTTTTTTGGATACTTTTGGACTGGAGTGATTTCTTTTTGAAATTTGAGGATAAATGAACGATACTTTTATGTTTTAGCTATTTTATGCTTACACTCTGGACAAACGTACAGTTGTTTTTGAACATTTTTTTATTCGTATAGACTACACGATTTTGTATATGTTATGCAATATACGTACATGTAGCGGATTGTCAAATTTATCTCTTTGTGAAAGAGATATTGGGGTAAAATTAATTTTGGTTTTGGTAGTGACACTTTGCGTTTGCGATCAAAATGTACTTATTGACCATACTTATGGAAAAAGATAGTTGATGATAAATCCGATGTTGTAATTTCACAAGTTACTGAAATCTTAATGGCACATAACGTTGTGCAAAAGGCATCATAATGTTTAATTGGTGCTTTTATTTATGACATCAGTGTATTTGTTTTTGCAAATATTGTTTTATGTAGTGTTTATTGATTTATGCAATGTCAAGAAAATCAAGCTTCATCTCGTGACGGTGATTGGTTTGGAGCAAATACTTTTGTAAGTCAGCATATTTGCTGTAATTGTCAGTATTTTGATGTATGCACGTGTACCTTATTTGCTCTATGTTAACGGTATAAAAAGTATATCCGTCTTACATGTATCGCAACTCGATGCTTATTTATTACAAACCCATTTGCCAGTCTTTGCCTGTTGGAGTTATATTTTAATTGTTTAAAAGAGGGCGAGCACGTGATTGCCTGTACTTATATCCTCTCTGGATTTAATTTTGCATAGGTCGTGGTAGCTTGGATTTATGACCTCTGTGTATTTGCATTTGCATATGCGGTG